AAGCATTGCAAGTTGCAGAGTCAAAGAAAACCCTATGTATTGTTTATGCATTGGGCAGCTGAGTATAAACACTTGATTACCAAACTATTGACACCAAAACAGCACAACAGTAATTCAATTGCACAACAACACACCAACACTTCAAAACGTATATTTTGGCTTTGTCTGTAATGAAATTGATTTTTTTGTCTTTAACAGACCTGTTCACCAGACAACACTGTCCACATGTCTACACAACCAGGAAGCTCAAATGTTGTCACAACTTGAGGTCTCACACTTCGCTAAAAACAAAAAAAAAAACAAACAATTTGAATGAACACCAAAAGATTATCATGCTGTTTATGCACCACATCCATATTTATACCATCAATATTTATAACATAACCAAAGTAAAGTGCGCACTCTGATTGGTCAATTTAGCATCCCCCATTTGCCTATGGGTGTATGTTGCTGACGTGAGCAAATATACAAAGACTATTTTTTCGCGTGCACTTGTTTTTTCTGGTTACCCAAGATTTGTTAATTAAAAGGGAACTCTAGGTACAATGTATCAATGTTATGTTATAAAACAAAATTAATGGTAAACACCACAGCGTACACTATCGAGTTATGGTTGCACTTGGGAGGTTTGCTAAGCACTCAAGAAGCTATAGTCGCTCTCGGCTATTGCCTCGAGCAACTCTTACGCTTCTTTCATCCTCCCGCATGCATCCAAAACTCAATAGTGTATGCTGTGGTCTTTACCATTTGTTAATTATATCATTAACATTTCAAACTACAGTGAGAGTAATAAAAACCACTTCTCATTCAAATTCTAAATTCAAATTAATGATTTCTCATCTGATCAAACCTACAACAAAACGTATCGAATGTGATTAGTCATCACCAGCCTGATTTGAGCACTTACAGGACAGTATAGCCATCATGCTTGTCATATTGCATGCATTTTGCGAAGTTGATTGTTTTTTTTTTAATGAAAATATAATCAATGTCTATTTTTTCCCTCAAATTTTGTCATAGTTTTAATTAATTGGTAACAGGACTTAGTGTGATCCAATTCTGTCTGTAATCTGTAATCATACTTGTGATAAACAAACTGGATTCCAGCCTCGTGATCATCTGAGTTTGTTTATCACTCATTTCATTTCAGACCAAATTAGACAGCACTTGGTCTTGTTACCATTATTTATCATCCTCCATCCATTACCAATCTTATTGGTCTTTACCCCACAAAGTTTGTTTAAGATAATGAATGCAGACTTGTTGAGTCTGATATGTAAAGTAAACTAATAAAGAAGATGTTTACAATACCTGTAGAACTGATAATGCCCCATTTTTTCCATACCCAGAACATGAAACAAGTTCCAAATCCAGCTCCTTGCTACCAGAAAACTACAGATTAGTAAGAAAAATACCTGAATGGTGTTAAACAGTAATGGTAATGTAAATAATCAATGTTTAAAGAAACAGGGGAAACTACAGTTACTGTATCACCATAATAATCTAATTCCTAGTTATCTTAAAATTCCCTTGTTATGAAAAATTTGCCCTTGCTACTGAGACAACAAAGCCCCGAAGTAAAATGATTTCCATAAAAAAGATTAAAAACACCAAAAAGTGTAAAAAGCTGTTTAACCATAAAGATTGCATTTTCACTTCTTAGCATAACATTAGAGCAAAACAGAAATCACCCTAAAGAAAAAATTCCATACACGTTACACGAATGCTACTTTGTTATGTACACATAGAGAGAGTTGATACACATTACAAACCTCTTCCTGTTGATGACAATGAAGAACATGTCAATTCATTAAATAAAATGAAAATGTTAGTTCTATGTATAACTAATCAGGACTAAAAATAAAACTTAAAAGCATGTTTTCTGTTAAGTGATTGGAATTGAATGAGTTTGATTTCTCAAACTTGATACTCTGTACTTAGTCTAACTTCTGTAGTTTAATTTGCTGATAAGAGCACGAAGGTAGTCTCTCTTGCACAATTTACATGCACTACTGATGCAATATTCTTCCCCTTTCAATGCATTTTTGAAACTTAATTTTTATCATTTCATTTGCCTGTTTCATCTCTTCAATGTTGTGAGGAGGTTAGCAAACAAAACATAACTCATTGTACAAAAGCGTCTTTACACACAAAACTCTGATCACAAAGGCTCACCAAAAGAAATGCAGGCTCTCCCATATCGACACTAGTACAAGGTCCTATGTTAAGCAAACTGTCAGATACCTGTTAACAAGACAACAGTACCATAATTATGGTGTGTGTATTATATTTCCCCCTTTAATTTACCTTACTTCAATGTACACAGTAATATTAGTACAATCACTCAGTAGATTCAAACTACATTTACATAGGCTGGCAGTAATTCCCGCACTGAAAATAATTTACTTTCACATAGTTGACACATATATATTTCAAATACAACAAACTCACTTCAAATGTGTATGATGTTAACTTCACCCCAGATTGTTCTTCTTTACCATACACTTCCAACTCATCCAGATCATCTGACAAAGACATCAATGAAAAATTTATCGTTTGTTGTAAAAAAAGGTTGTGGTTATTCATTGGGTTGAATATATGAACAACTTTGCCACAGCTTTCAAAAACAAGGCATACTTCTTGTTAAAGACCATGCTACTGTAACTGGA